CTACCGCCACCTAGGTTCGGGTAGCGATTACTAAGTCTTGTGAGAGTTACTGCGAGTTACTAGTTAAAGGCAGTGAAAGGCACTAGGTTAGCAAGTAACGGATACAATCTTTTTGCCCAGTAACCGTATACTAGCTTGACACCTACTACCTACGCTAACATATGTGACAGGATGTTACTACCTTTTACCTAGTAAATACTACGAGCTTTTTTTTAAGAGTGTGTAGGCTCATATTTAAAAGATAAAAACAACGCAAAAAAAACGACGGACTGCATGAAAGAAGACACAGATAAAGCGCTCTGTCTGTGTCTTCCTTCATCCAGTCCGTCGTGTTTTTTTTTTTTTTTTGCGCTGTTTCTATCTTTTAAGTATGTCGTATTACCAACTCGCCCAAACTTCAACCTTAGCAACATGTATAAGTTTGGCGCGAACCGAAACGCATGAACCAATCCTTTAACATAACGCCGTCTCCACGGCGCGCAAAAATGCGACCACCTCTATACACCCGCCTCGCCTCAAGCGATAGACCCCCAAAACTGTTTTTTTTTTTTTTTTCGTTTTTTCTGCTGCCGCGGGATGTATAGGGATCGAAAGCTCGTGAAGTCATCTATGCGGATTTTTTACTCGGTTCCCTCCAATTTATTAAAACATGAATAAATCATATTATTATTCATTATATACAGTACTACGAGTGATCACAGCGGCTCCCACGATATTTTCGTCGCCAAAAAGTTGCGCTACCGAGTCTAGGAAATAACGAGCTAAATATTGCGCGCTTCGCCGGCATTTCCCCATCTATTCACCTCGCCCATTTCTTCCCTACATGTTTTTTTCTGCTGGTAATGGACGATCCTGGCATTCCGTCATATACTACCACGGCAACGAGAAGAAGACAACAAAAAAGAAGTTAAAAAGTTTTGAATCGTCGGTTGATTTTGAGTTTACCCGCAATTTATCTTCCGTGGCCACGCGAATGAATAACACAAGTTTTTGTAGATGATATTAGTTGTTGTAGTTTTTTCAGTAGCGTTTTGGCATAGCATCAGTGATTACAGAGCATGAACGTAAACCCCGCGAATTCCTAAGCTCTTTTTATAGAAGGTAATGCTATATAGCAACGCTCGAGTTTGTGCGAGCAGAAACAAGTTATAGGTTGTAGCTGGAGTCAGCTACCGTAAGGAGTACTTTAACTATTTGAGCAGAGATTGCCTATATCGCGGTACCCTCCAATGTATTTTTTTTTTTTCGTTACAAGACACGATTTTAACAACGAAGTTTGGAAAGGCATTCAAGAAATGCACGATAATGGTATACCAAATTGTTGGAATGTTCAGAGGCTAAAACTAAAGATACATTTATAACAGAATAAACTAGCTGTCATGCCGTTGAGCAAAGACACATGTTAATAACATGCCTTTTTTGGAAAGTCCTTAGTTTATATATATATATATAAAAAAACGTTAGTAACCTATGATGCAGAGGAAAATTAAGAAGCGTGGATTAAGGTACTTTACTAAAAAGAATGCAATGACTTAATTTCCTCAAACACGAGTTGAGGGATGACATATGTGAATAGAATATAAGAGGAGGGAGGAAATTAAGAAAATCTTGGTGGAGACCTGCTTATTCCGTTATCTAAGCAACTCCAGCCACTTTGTAAATGTAATCGTATTTTCCGAAGACTTCGAAGTCAAAATATCTTTGGTATCCCAAGAGCCACAGGCATCAATCTTTGCTGGCAGACAAGACATGGTTTTTCTCCAAACGACCATATTTTCACAGCTTTCGCCTGTTCGCTGCATCTTCCTTTGTGATAACTTGGTGCCAGTAAAGTCCACGAGATGTCACTAACAAGTTGAATATTAGGATTTTGAGACCAATGCTTATTGACGGTCGCTGTCAACGTGACGAGCTCCACACAAGTTTAATCCACATTAAGACATTTTTCATCCTTAAAAGGTTCAAAATACTGTTTCATAAATTTACACCTATGGCTTTAGACGCTTTCAGCACCCTTATTTAGAGCAATGCACTCTTTTTAATTGTAAAATAAGACGTTGTTGCAAGGAGCACTCTTCATTTTTAAGGTTGAAAAACGGGTGTCGAAAGAAGTGCAATGATGGAGTGAGGTGAACACCCTTTCTGATGTATGTTCATTCAGTCATTTATTTATTGATACTATCAATCCAATTGGGACTACGCAGCGGTGGATAATACAAGGAAAAAGAAAAACATAAAAGTAACCACTATATACACAAATACATAAACAAATATAAAAATACTTAGCAGAAAATTGTGACAAGGAGCTAATAAAGCAAGAAGGACAGGTGCGCGTGGTAAAAGACGGAGTAAAAAGTGCTGCAAAAACACATGGGAAAAGAAGTGTATATTATCACCCTTAATAAGTGACGTAAGCTATGTTTCGTATACTTTCCAGAAAGACAAAAGATGTTGATGAAACAACAGCATCGGGTAGCATATATTCCATTGCCCGATGGATCGAGGAAAGTAGATGAATTTAAAACAACCGTTTCTTACTGATGCATTGCAAATGTGCGTGCTGTGCCGATGCCTCGATGATGAGTTAGTGTAGATATTCCTGGTAGCCTATATCGTTTATTTTTATACAGTTATGAATAATTCGGAACATAAATTTCAATCTGTCATACTTTGTTCTTGATTCCAATGTTTCAAGAGTTGCGAGCTCCCAAAGTTTTGTAGGCCAAAAGTGTAGCTATATTTATTATAAATAAACCGAGATCTATGTCGCTGGATTCTTTCGAGTGTAAGGCAATTGGTTATTGTGTACAATTGCCATAAAATTTTAGCATATTCTATTATGGGTCTTACTAACGTCAGATAAGCATCTTCTATAATGGGCCTGACTAGCGTATTTATCCTTTCACAAACAACTTGCTGTGTCGAATAATTATTGCCTGTAAAAATGCTTTTTACTTGGAGACAGATTCCTTAAATATAGAGCATCAGTATGCTCTACGTTGAACGCTACCTGAAGAAAACGAGTGAGAGGTGAATTCTATCGTATTTTTGTCCACTAATTTGGATTTGATTATCACAAGCATTTGGTCCGAACGTATCAATAGACGCGAGAAAAACCGAAAACCCAACAGCCGGGCATGACGTCATTCCCAGAGGTTTTAATTGCCTTGCGATTGCCGCTTGTGAGGGAACATGTGTAGCGCTCTTTATACCTCGGGTAAGGCATACTGAAGGCGTGGAAATATGAGATCTTAGTATAATATGTCACAATTCTCTCCATGAACGCGCCGGGAAGGAGGGGCTTTAGCGCCGTTTTGAAGCTGCTGTAGTGGCTACTTGGCGCATCGATCTGAAATGTAATTTCGATATTCGTGTTCCCGAAGGTCAAATAAAGACGATCTAAGTCTTTTTCTCGAATAAAGCACCACTTCAGTTTTTTTTTTTATACATCGACGGGGACGAAGCAACATCATTCTACCGTTCGTAATTCCTAAGATGGTTACTCGCGCTTGTCAGTCTTTCAATTGTCGAATATAGAGCGCGGTGGAGCAGTGAACGGGGTCGTGATTCCTCCCTCGTGCATGATTCACTGCGTCTGTATTTGACGTTTTTGTGCATGTGAGAACTGCATGTGCACAACCTGCAGTTCTTACGTGCACAGAAAAGGCAAATGCAGACTGCTAGCTCTTAAACTCATTGTACAGTGACCTAGAATGGGGTACTGGGCTCACCGTCCTATCTCGCTCATGCCTCGAGGTGAGGCGGTCTGTGTCAGTTGTGTCGGAGTACGATGGGGGCGCTCCTGTCGACTCTTCCTGTCACCGCCCAATTCAAAAGAAATAGCCGCCATTCATCCATCCATTCATCCATCCATCCATCCAGCCTGAAGCATCCCGTATGCCGACTACGCCCGGCCGCGTGTGTTTGCGTTCGGCTTCAGTGTTGACGTTGAGCGGCTTTGAGTGAGTGACTGCAGTTTACGTGTGTTCGTCTGCGAGCCTTTGCCGTGAGGTCACTAAGATTACTGCTGTCTTGAAGTCTTGTTCTTCGACTCAAATGAAAGAACGCCTAATCGCCGACAAAAGTACTCTTCTGCGCCTGGCTGGATACGCTCGAGTGAAGGACGCGCCAAAGGTGTCTTTGTTTGGTGTACCCGAAGACAAGTAGCGACGAAAACTGTAGGACAAGAACTTGCATCGAGCGAACAAGGCGTTGGATGAGACCTCTGCTGTGAACGAATTATATCTTGAACCATCTAACGTAATTAGGAATTACGTGCACGTCATATCAACGGTGAAGAGGTATGCGTTCAGCCTGGGAAACCAATCCTTTCAGCCAACGCAGCTCCAACGATCCTTCCGAATCTTCCCAGCTATCTGACGAAGAAAACACCGACGCACACACTCGCTGGTATACACGTGATCGCAGAAGCGCTCTTGAAAGTTTCAGGAAGAGTCGACCGAAGCGCCATCCTCTCAATTTAGACATGAACCCCCTCAGCAAGAGGGCGCGGTGAGCCCACTGCCCCATTCAAGGCCACTGTACTCATTGCTAAGAAAAACGTATATCTAGGAGGCTAAGTTTACCATGTAGTCCTAGACCGCAATCATACTACTCGTACATAATACAAGAGACAAGATGTAAGCTGCAGACATGATGACATGATGATCATGCTGACGCACCTAAACCATTTTCCAAGCATGCTTCAGTCGTCTTGTTCTTCTCTCTACTAAGTGCGCTAAATACCTCAATATGTTCGAAGCATGTTTGCTTCATACACATGCATGTCTCTAACATGTGTGCAGACAGTTTTTTATGACCATATGACAGTACTCGGACAGCGCCGGGAGACCGTCTTTGAAGAGATGTACTAACAGCGCGACCGCAGTTTTGGATGTTATCCCTAAGACAAGCAGATTTACACCCTTAAAGGAAGAAATCGTTTTGTTTACACCCTTAAGAGTGTAACAAAAATGTTTGTTTATGACTCCACCTCGCAGACGCCCCAAGATGCAGGTCCCGCGAAGAGACAAGGATCCCCCTGGGACCCAACGACGTCGTCAACGTGACGTGTGACGTGGAGGCAGACCCCAGCGACGACCTGTCCTACTCGTGGCTCATCGAGGACGATGCCGGCAAGACGAGACCCGTGCCCAGCGCCGGCGCCCAGAGCAGGACCGTTCAACTGCTCGCGCAATTGCGTCTCCACCACGCGACGCTCTTTTGCTGGGCTCGAAACTCGATCGGCGAGCAGCGGGAGCGATGCCGCTTCAACTTTATTCTCAAACGTGAGTTGAAAACCATACGGGTAGACACTGAGGGAGAGGAGGAGCCGAGAGCGCGCGGGGACGTCAGAACGCCGGGCTCTGATTGGAGGAATTAGAGGGTAGACGCAAAGCTATAGCTGCCTTTGCCTCTAGTCACTCTTCGAACGCGAACGCGGGACGCCGGCGTTCGGCATTCGAACGTGTTCAAACAGTGAGTATATGGACAAAGACAGCTCGTTTTTGTGTCTACGCGGAGCGCAAGGTCGTCTGCTTCTTTTGCAGGGGTTGTGGTGACGTCAGAAAAACGTCGAGCTCCGATTGGCTCTGATTGAAGGATAGTGGATAGACCTTGGGGCAGCTTGCCTTGAGGTGTACCCGCTATCTTTTAATCAAAACCAATCAGATCTCGGCGTCTTTCTGACGTCACCACAAACGAAAGAGCACACGGAGTTGCGCTCCGCATGTTCACTGTTCGATTAGATCGGGTCAATCAAGTAGCGCCAAAAGTGCGTCGTCACGGCGCTCGTCGTCCTTGTGCGTTTGCTGTATCACCGGCTAAATCAATCACGCGTAGTGAATTCGCCGTAATCCTGCGCTTTTTGTTTTCTATGCGTGATTGGATCTGCCGGGAATAGAAAACGCATAAAGACGACGTGCGCCGCGATGTTCCATTTTCGGCACCACCTGATGGTCTCTATCGGATCGTAGCGTTGGGTCCAGTCAGAGTTTATCGTGGTTCTTTGCTGTGGCCGTGCCTTTTACTGGTTTGAACTGTTAGGGCGGAGGGGAGGGGAGGAGGCGGGGGGGGGGGGGGGCGGGGTGGAGGAGGGGGGGAGGGTTAACGCTTCGCCGAGTCGCGTTTCAGAGTCGCGTGAACTGCCCGTGCCGCGGAGGACGCGAGGTCGGCCGCTCGGCCGCTGTCGACGTTGCTGATTACCTCAGTTGCGGAACTCCCGCGGAAGAGGGTAACCCCCTCACCCACTTCAGTCCGCCTTCCGTCATTTAAAGCGCCATCTAGATTTTCGTCTCAAAACTGTGTGTTCCATAAAGTACAGTGGAACGCCATCTATAGACGCTGTGTCTAAAAACGTACATGCGCACGTAATCCATAGTGTACACTGCTGTTACCATGACAGCCATCCTGCGCGTCGAATGACGGGAGGTGAGGGGGGGTACCGGCGTCTATCGCCGTTTTCAATCAGACAGGAGCGCGTCGCGTTGAAGCGAGCAGACGAGCAAGTCAGCAGATAAGAGATTGCTGCAGAAACCACTGGTGTTGGTTGTCTTTGAGTTGCGATAGCATTCCTCTAGGACAACCTTAAGGACGACGTCCTGGAGGATGACATCAAAGACGACGTCTTGGACAAACCCTAGGACGACGTCTAGAACGACCCCTAGGAAGATGTCTAAAACGACCTCACGGACGACATCGGGGATTACGTCCTAGAAAACGACGCCAAAGTTGTCTAGGATGACCTCTAGGGCGACCTCAGGGACAATGTCTAAGATGACGTCGAGAACGACCTCTAGGACGTTCACTAGGATGACCTCTAGGATGTCTAGGACGATGTCGAGGACGACATCTAAGACTACATCTAGGACGACGTCAAGGTCGTCAGTACCTACGAAGAGGGTGCAAATGTGAACGAGTGTGAAAACGTGAGCTGAATTCAGCTCCCATTTTCACACTCGGCTTACTGCGTATACTTGCCGCGCATTAGGAGTCTAGAACGTCCAAGAAATTAGGGAAGTGTGTGTGTGAGTGGGGGGGGGGGGGGTAGCTAAAGAATGCTATCGCACTAAAGAGGCACTGACATCCCAAAGGTCGTATTCTTTGTTTTCTTTGTTGTCTAAAACGATGAAAGTTGTAGTCATAAACACGTAAAAAATACCACAAAGCGAAAAAAAACTTTCCCCACGAGCGAGCGCGCCTTTTTACTTTGGCGCCTTTCTCTCCCTCTTCTCACTTCCTCGCGTCTTTTTATTTCTGACGCAATTGATTATGAAATGTAGAAGCTTTGAAAGCGACATTTCTATGTTATTTGATAACGACATTCGTAAAACTTTTTTTTTCACGCAATTGGGAACGCACTACGGCAGTCTTTTTGAAATACCGAAAATCGGAGTCCGTAGTATTGTCGCCTCCTGACTTTTTATCCTCCCTCGGAAAACATTGCGGCGCTCATCGCATGTAGCACTGAGGATGATCGGTGACTCGGGGGAATCGGACGAAGCTCTTTTTTAGGCACCCGACGACCTTTGAGATTCCGAAAAGGAAGCCAAACGGTCAAGACAACAGAGTTTGGTGTCTGTGTACCGTAGTTTCGGCTGTGACTCCGCAAAACCGACACGACGTGACCCCTCACGTCGCTCAAAGGAGTTCACTGCGCGTTCTCTTTGACCTCACACCACACCATTTCAAAGAATTTGAGATTCCTGAAAAGGCCCTAAAGAAGTTCGATCTCAAAAATGAAGCGTCGTCTGATCACAGCGATAGCCGCTACGCCACGCACAGAGAGGAGCGGTTCATCGCAGGACGCGGGCGAACACGGCACTCCTGATCGGGACGGTTCGGAGTCGCGAGAGTAACTCGAGTCGCAGGACAACTCACTCACTGACGTCACTGCACTGGCAGGATCGCACGGGAACTTGAATTTCGGCTTTTGGAAATCGTTTTTTTTTTTTTATTACTTCACAAATACTGAGTTCCCAAGTTTCGAATATTGAGGGTAATGTCTAGGCATCATTTTCAATCGCTTCGGATTATTAAAAAAATAAATGATTTGACCTGTCAGTTCCCCTTTAAAAGGACGAGCGTGCGCACTGCGCGGTTCTCGTCAGCAGGCACGGCGCGCCGTCAGGCAGTGCGAAGATGCAAATCGGTCGGCGCTCCGGTGTTATCTGAGTGACGTCACTTCCATGACCAAGTTTTCCTGATATCGATCTCCCAACTTCGCGCCCCTTTCCAAGCGCAGAAAAAGACGTAGTTCTAGATGAAAAAATTACCGAAGCGCAAAATCTCTTAATTTCTTCTGACTACTTTTCTTTTTCTTTTTTTTTTTTTTTTTTTGCAGTGGAGGCGTCACGTGATTTGAGCTGCACGGCCGGGAACTACACCGACACCTCGTTCACGCTACGTTGCAGAACTTCACGACGTAACGTCACCCGCCTTCGCTTCGAGGTGTACGACGCCACGATGCGCAACCGGTCCGAGAGAGCGTTCTGGTCTGCGCAGCCGGACGGGGTGTCCGTTGGGGGCCTAACCCCGGCCACGGACTACTTGGTCGTCGTGCGGATAGAGGGCGCCGTTTTCGAGACCTACGTTCGGACTCTGACCCCGGCTCAGACGCTCAAGGGACGCTCCGGTAAGTGTGTACAGCATCACCATGATTAGAAACGAGCTCGCGTTTGCCCACACCAGATAGCACTGCGTGTGCACAAACATTCGCCACCAATAAATGTTAGAGAAACAAAACAACACTGGCCAGGTGGCGCAAGCCGCCGCCCAATTCAAAGAGTTCAGCCTCATTCATTCATTCAACAAGATTCGCGTGAGTCTGCACGTCCACGCTGCCGACAGCAGCGCCACCCCAAAGGCGTGATGCATGATGTCTGAGAGTTGATGAACAGGAATTCGGGGGACGCACACAAGCTGTTGAGGAACACAACTCGCGATACTACGGGTAAGCAAAATACGACACGCACACACACAAGAAGTCTAACACAGCTGGAAATTTAGCTTTCAAAATGTTTAAATACGAAATGCCACAAAGAGACAATATCAAAGAAGAAAGGAGAAAAGCAATCACCCCCGTTCCACGCCAGTACTTCCCAGAACACAAAAGGAAAGAAAGCAACCTCCACCAAAAGTTGAGCTGGTATATAGGGAAAACGTTGCCGGGTTGTGAACAAAACTTTGGAACATCTGGGGCTCTAAACTCGTCAAACACAAAGTTGGGGCCGAAGTTCACAAATCGCACCGACTGGTCTATCACAACGATGACTTCGCGTTTTTGTCGTCGGCATTCAATCGGCGCGCTTCGAAAGCGTTCGGTTCCAACTTTGTGTTGGACGAGTTTAGGGACTTGGGTGCCGAAATTTATGTTTAATCTTAGTCACGGTCAGGTAAACCTCGACGCATTATTACGCCTTAGATCGCTCGGTGTTTCTAGATACCCATCCAGGCATCGGAACGGCGAAGCGTTTTGTGGAATATAGCTTTAGAGTAGACGCTTTTAAGTATTCACATTTCCAAGAATGATTTGAGAATGAAATACGTTACTGGAAGAAACGGTGAATTTATAAACTTCATCCGATTTTGTTAATCGTCTAAATAAGCACTTGTGACTTTTTTATAGCTGTGTTTTTTGGAGTTTAAATTTTATAGACCAACTCATGTTTACAAGCGAACCGGAGCGCCCCTAGCACACGTCACTGGCGCCGCGCATGCGCCATGGAGTGTGGGCAGGATACTCGCCGTCGCCCATGAACAAACCATTGGAAAGCGATGTTGTCGGCGTCGGTGTGAGTCCCCGTGCTCTTTTTCGCGTTCGTATTGTTGATTCTACGCCTTTCTGGCAATGCCTGATTACTTGAGCGGCCTCAGCGAAATTACCGAGGCTCGTTACACTGCAAAACTTCGCGCGTGAATAATGTGACATGCGGCGATTCATTCCGCGTGAACGCCGCAGTATGTACGCTAAAGCCTGATTCGCACGATGAGATTTCGCTCGCAATTTTCAGTCGCGACGTCGCTCGGGCTGCAAAAGCGTGGACTGTAGCTGAGATGGTCGACGTCGATACTGAAAATATCAAGCAGAATCGGACCAAGTGAATAAGTCATAAAAGTCGGTGATGGCCACTGGTAACAATGATCAAGACCTCTTTGTGTCTACTGTTTACA